GGATTAAATTAACTAATGCACGTAAAACACAGCTGGTAAAAGAGAAGGTAGTTATTAACATTTCTAGTTGGATAGCTGCTCCATTAGCTGTCATCTGTAGAGAGTGAAGGTATGGGGTAAAAATTTTTCCTTTGTTTTTTGTGCCTTCAAAACCAACAGCTTCCTGGGAGTTTTTGCACATTATTTAATGTGAGGATTACATATAGCACTCAGGAGTGAGCAATGCATCTGGGCTTTAGTGGCCTCTCAGCTCAGCAAGAGACACTTTTGCTTATAAACTTGCAGATCACTACTATGAGGCTTCCAAGCCGTGAGATTGACTTAATGAGAAAAGAGGAATGAGGAGCAATTACATTTCCATTAAGTGGACAACAATGCCCTTGATAAGGCTGCTGGAACCAAAGCGTCCTCTTTCCTCTCAGGTATAATCTTAGAAACACAGCCCAGATTGATTTATTAAACATGGGTCTATTTTTGCTTCTGAAATCAGCTATTTTCCAAGGTTACTCCATGATCACAAAGGACTAAATTCCAATTTATAGTGGAATTGTTAAGCTGTGAAAGTATCATGAGAGATTGGTTCTAAGCACCCATGAAATATGAGCAGATCCTAAAAAGTGTCTGGAAATTCTCAGTGAGAAACTTTTGCCATTTGTAATGCTGGAAGTGAAAGAATCAAGGCCATAGATTGCTACAATTTTGCCCAACTTCATCTTAATAACTTATAATCGAACTAGTTAATACCTGTCCAATACTTACTACATACCAATGTTTGTGCTAAGGGCTTTATAAACATTACCCTAATCAAAACTCATGGCCATCTTACGATGTAGCCAATATATTACATGTATTTTATAGATCATGACATAGAATCTCAAAGATTATCTAGTTTGTGGTGGACTGCACAGCTACTGAACTACAGAGTAGAACTGCGGTACACACCAGGTTTTCCTAAGTACAGAGAACATCCTCTGTCAGTACCTGTACCTTGTTTTCCAGGTTTGTGCTTATGCCTGTTTAGGGCTCCTCTGTGAAAACTTCCCTGACAACATCCAGATTTTACTTCGTGGCTGGTATAATTCTACTTCCATCCAAAAATCTACTGCCGTTATGCCTAGTAATTGTCTCATACATTTTAAGTAAGTGGACGCACCTCCACGTAAGATGACCAACAAAAATAAAAAATTCTCTATCAAGATTCTCTTTGGTTTCCTCTTTTCCTTGCTTCTACTCATTGTCTCTTGGGCTAATATAGCATATTTTTGGTACAAAACAATTATTGGCATACATTTTCTGTTATTACTCAGGCTCTTACTAGGATATGAATAACAGTCAATATTTAGTGTATATTATTCATGTTTTAGCCATGTGGCAAAAAGTTATACAAGCAATATCTCATTTAATCTTCACAATAACTCTGAATTGGGTATTACCATCTCCATTTCAATGCAAAGAAATGAACTCAGAGACATTAAATAATTTGATCAAATCCACACCACTCCTAAAAATGAAACTAGTGTTCATACCAAAATCCATTAATTTCAAAGTCTATATTATTTTAACACGTTTTCATAATTTACCTTGAGAGTCTATTTTTTGTGAGTTAGGCATATTCAGTCTTATTCTAATGTGTTCTGAAAAATACTGCTAATCACTTATTTCTAAGAGAAGAGCTCATTCTATGTAGTTTTGAGGGTTTTTTTTGTCTGTCTTCATTCCTAGGCTGCTGCAATCTTTGGCTACTCTTCTTCCCTAGCTCTATGTATCACTCTGCCCAGGTATGGTGTACTGGAGCCTTTTTATTTAGCTTCTCTATAGTGCTGGAAATACTAACTTCCAAAGTAAGTCTACATTTAAAATGCCTCCTTTAGTATCAAATAAATACTTCCTGTGAATCACTACTTACTATCCATCCTAGCTACTATAATGCAAGATATTTTTGTTGTTTTAAGTTTCCTTGTGTTGAGTGATTGATTCATTTCTCAAGCAAGTTCTCACCAGAGTAGAGAAGCTTTGAAAAACATTTAAACTTAGTTGCCTGCTGGTGGCAAGCCAAAGATTGTTGTAAAGTGAAGAAAAATAAGAAACAGAGGAAGCTCAGAAATAGCAGATCTGGTGTAACATCCTTGACAGAAACTGAAATCAAGGGGATCTGGGTTTGGATCTCAATTCTCCTATTTAGGGAACATATGGTCTTGGGGAATTACTTAACATTACTAAGTCCTATTTCTAGGATCTGAAAATACATCATCTGCATTTATTTTAAGACGGAGTCTCGCTCTGTTGCCCAGGCTGGAGTGCAGTGTGTGATCTTGCCTCACTGCAACCTCCGCCTCCCAAGTTCAAGCGTTTCTCCTGCCTCAGCTTCCCGAGTAGCTGAGATTACAGGTGTGTGCCACCATGTCCAGTTAACTTTTGTATTTTTAGCAGAGACAGGGTTTCACCATGTTGGCCAGGCTGGTCTAGAACTCCTGACCTCAGGTGATTCAGCCACCTCAGCTTCCCAAAGTGCTGGGACTACAGGCATGAGCCACCACACCCAATCCTCATCTGCATATTTCATGGAGTTGTCTGTTCAGTCTGTGCTTGTTGAGTGCCTACTATGTGTTGATGTTCTTGTGAAGACTGAATGGGATGGCTGGCATAACGAATACCGAAGCCAACACCAACCTTAAATGACAACCACCAATCTTCCTAGGGATGGGAAATTTCATTCAACTTTCTATTATTAGTTATAATTGTTTTAAAGGAACCTCTCTAAGTAAGAATTCTTAGCCCTATTAGAAGTAAGGTAGGCTGGGGACACGAGGAAGTTCTCTGAGAATATGATCACAATACTTGGTCTGATAAAAGCTTAATTTGTGAATTGTAAAAGTTAAATGTCACAACACATAATATACTCATCACAACTGGTTAAAAATGTAACAAGTTTCCTTAATTATGGGTTAGAGTGCAAACCATCAGAAACTCCTAGAAAAACAGGAAGTACGTGGTCACAAAATGAGGAGCACAATCAATTGAGAGTTTGTGAAATGTTCCATGAGAGAAACAAGCTGCTAATAGAGATGTGGAAAATATATTTTAAACTCTCACTATGATTTTCTTGCAAAATGATGCCATGATACTAGCATTGCCTTAGGGAGAACTGATCTCTGCTCATATAACCCTCCTAAGGCAATCTTTAGGGAAGATGATATCCTAAACTTAACAACTGACTGCTATGTTCAATGTACTTTTCAGAAAACGCTGTTTTGAATGGCCTTGATTTAGTACTCCTTGATTTTCTCCTTACTTAGTCTGTAATTCTAACTACCAAAAGCAAGAGGGGCTCTTCGACAGCATTGAGTTCAATGCTTTTATTTGGCACAGAGAAAACAGAGGCTCAAGTATGTTAAGTGACACACAGCTTTTCCAGGAGGAAGATCTAGAAAAGTTGAAAATATGTACACAAAATAGTAGCTACTGTTTCATGAACAGCTATTATTTTGCAGGCACAGGGCTAGGAGGTCAATTCATTATCCCATTTAGTTAACACAATTAGACTATGAGTAGATATTGGTATTTTCATTTAAGAGAGGGGAGAAGTAAAGCTTGGAAATTTGAAGTGACTTTCCCAAGTAACAGTTGATTTACCTGTAATCTAAACACAGGTGTTTGATCTCCCGACCCATCTTGTTTCATTTTTACAAATTACCTCCCTATTGATGTTTACTTTAAAAAAATATCAGGTCATAAGTAGGATAGTCTTGAAAAAGTTTGATATCAAAAACCACTAAGAACAAATATTTTGATGTCTTTTTTCCTCCTTATTACCTAGGTATTTTGCTGTAGACTTGTAGTTTAGAGATAACAGCTGTCAAAAGAAAAGTCAGACTGTTTTACTTGACATGAAAATTTTATTGAGAACACAATATTCCAGAACAGAGACTTCAAAATAGAAAATCATAAGAAGCTCATCTCCTAAAGGTTACAGTTAATGTTTAAAAAATGGAAAAAAAGAAGTGCATACATCTTGATTCTTATTGGTTATTTTACAGTGTCTTTCCTTTTAGGATGATCAGAGCAGGTTACGTAGGTAATAGATGATTGTCTGCAATGTGCTGAGTCATGCTTACAAGGAAATAAAACTCAAGTTGCATTTCTGGCATTTCCAGAATCAGTCTTTATAAGTTTTCTTGAGCTGATGTGGGCCATTGGCTCCGAAGCAAAGGTTTTCCCTCCATTTTTACTTTTATTTAACAGAACTTTATAACCCAAGAAAAACATCTTTCAGGATTTTGTTTGTCTCATGCAGAAAAAAAAAAAAAAAAAACACTTGAGTGTGTAAAGAATGCTTAACCCTTCAGCAACCTGATTGATGATTTCTGGAAATAAAATTTACTACACCTTAATAAGTTACTAAAAGTTTCATTTGATTGCTCAGAACACTAAGAAAAAAAAAAGTTGTTCTGTTCCATATTTATTCAGCCGTGATTAATCTACTGTTGAATAATTTTTAATTTCCATTTCTTGAATATATTTATTAATTTACCTCCTGCCAATATATGGCTCTGGTTGCCACTATTTAGAATTTATTCCTGTTCTTCCTAAGTATCATTTGCATAATGGAATGACAAGGTCCATTCACTGGCAGTTGGTTGTGGGGTGTTGGACAGAGTGACTGGGTTGTAATTAGTGGCATCTGGCCTCTGGTTTCATTAGCATGCAAATGGAGCTACTAGAGACCATGAGAGCCTGGCAATTTCACAACAGTCCCCACAATGTATATCTACTTTTATAAGCATATCAGTGGGATGGCTTTTTATAAAAGAATAAAATCTGTACGTCTGAATGAATTTGACTGCCAATCTTTGCATCCTAGAATCTTAAGGAATTTTCTGTCGAAGAAGAACACAGGTTGGCAATATATCAATCTCAATTTCTTTCCAAATTTTAGGGTATTAAAAATGCAATCCAAGCTCTTATTTCTGCCTAGCCTGTCTCTATTCCCCCCGTCAAATCCTTACTCATCTCCTTGTCTTCTTTATTTTCCTTAAATAAACTATTTTTTTTCAGCTCTATAAAATACGTTTTTGCTTGCTTGTTTGTTTTTCATGGCATTACCATAGGCAGGAAATAACAAGGCTCTCGATTTCCTGTTTCACCATATCCAGACTCTTCGCTACAGTCTTCATGCTTCTGTTACAATCACCGATGATGTTAGGTGGTGATTGCGGCCAAATCTTATTGGATGGTTGGTATGTATCAAGGATTGTTTTACCCTCATTTAATCTTCTCAGTAATTCAATGAATTGGAACTGCTTAAAGCTTTATTTAAGAGAAAAAAAAAAAAAAACCAGAAAGAAAGAAAAATAAAATAAAGCTCAGAACAGTACTGTACCTTTTTGGAAGCCACCCAGTTCACATTACAGCCAGGATTTGAGTTCAAACCTCTCCGACTGTAGAACCCCACTTATTCTCATAGAGACTTTTCCATCTGCCACAAACAGGTACAAATTTGGTCTAAAAAGCAATTCTTTGCTCTGAAGCTTCTCTAAACCAGAGAATTTTATTCTTACAGAAATGTTCTGAGCCTCACGATTTATAAAATTTGTCACAGTGACAACTTTAGATGTTTTACTTATTCCGATTTTAAACTAGATGTCTATTTGGTTTTTGCCTCTTAGTGTTACTTTACTCCTTACCACCTCATGGATTGACAACAATATTCTTCAAAGGGTGAAATCCAGAATCTCAGTTTTGTGGGGTATTTATTGGTGTCATATGACAATGGTGTTTCTCGATCCATTAATTGTGAGAAAACTTGGGTTCAACTTCATCAGAATGTTTTCTCTACAACAGAATTTATAAAAGCCTTTTCACATGTTAATGTAAATATGCCTTACTTCAAGGAAGGCTGAAAAAGTATCCCTTATTTGCCTTTATTGTGTGAAGTTCTATTTGCCATCCAGGAAGAAGTTATGGAGATTTCTGGTTAAAGACTACTGGATAAAGAATACTCTGTTTCTAGTAAATCTACATGACTTTGGACAATAAATTAAAATGTAGTCCTATATTTTTCAAAGGTCTCTGGGATCTCTTCTTCTTGAATCATAAATATTATTTATGCTTTGACCCTCAGCAAGTAATTGAAATATAGGAGAGTGAAGCATGTCTCAAATTGTCAATGTAAAAATGCAAGGAGATAATTAATGCATAGTACATAGTCTATTGCCTAGTGTAGAGCAAATACTTTCTAAAGAGTGGCTAATTTAAATATGAATCAATTTTTAGAACTTAATATTGTGTTCTTTTCCTTATTTACTACAACTAATTTTGAAAAGCTACAATTTGACTGACAGGAAAAAACCCACTACCATCATCCTTAATAAGCATCAGTAATCAGCAGTGAATTAATAGCAGTGGCCTCTCTCTGTTGCTATCAATTACACACATTATTAATGGATTGACAAAAATCTGCCAAGGCGTAGACTGTTAACGGGAATTGACACCTCGGTTATTGCCAGTGTCAGAAATTAATCTTGGAGAGTGCAAGCATGCCGCATTAAAATGCATGTTGCAGTGGTTTACGATGTGGAATAGAAGACCTTTACTGTAAAGTGATTTAGGATGCAGGCTTGAGGGAACAATGCAGGCATGTATCTGAGAGAGGAGACATGGGAAGTACCCACATGATAGTTCAGACACATATCAAGATCTATTCTATAAAGGTTCTGGGTTGTTAATCTGAACCCCTGTGCGGTTGTTAAATAAAACCTAGAACAACCTGGATATTGTAGCAATTAAAAAATAATTTACTTTTAAATTATTAAATCTTAGAAAAAAAGAAAACCAAACATGTATTTACTTACTTAATTCTCAGAGTAATGTTATAGGGAAATTGAAGACGAGGAAGTTGATATTTGATATTGAAATTGCCCAAGTTAAGTTGCATTTGGTAAATGAAAGAGTTAAGCGTTTAACACACTTTCAGAAGTACAGGTATTTTTTCAGGATATTGCATTGTCTCCCTAGAGCTTTTAAGGTTTGAGAGAAATAGGTGGTGAAGGTGGCTAGGCAGAGGGGATAAAAGGACTTCTGAAATAGTGCGTGGGAAATAGCTTAACTGCAGCTTTTCTTACTTGCTCCCTGGGTGCTTAGTACAAGGCTGGCTTCACCATATACAGTGAGATGCCAACTCCATTTCCTTCCTCGGGAGGTCAATGATATTGGCTCCATGCTTACATTATGTTTCTAGTCTGCTATTCTGGCCTGCTAAATGTGTTGTGATTACAAGCAGCATTAATGAGCAGTTTGCCAGTGGTGACTCTTCTTACCAGCTGTGGTTGGGTTCTTGCTCTATTCTGAATCTCTAACGCTATCAATAGGATCCTACTGGTACTGGATCTTGTCCTGAGTTTCACACTGGGTTGAGTTCATAGATGTAACATGGTGAGAACACATCTTTCATCTGTGAAGAGTTGGGAATATCTCCAAGATTATAACTACTCATAGCCTTCCTAAACACCTTAGTAAAGAATTTTTTAATCACCAGTAAGTGACACAATAATAGAAAGCAGCAGTGTTCATGGGATATTTATCTTACTTTGAAAAGATGAAAAGAAACCTCAAATAATTATCCTATACATGTACTTGCAAGGTGTTGGGAACACTCTGCCCTCTCATCTTGTTTCGCTATTTTTATAAACTAAATTTCCAAGTTTTGCTACTTTTATACAGTAAATTCCCAAGTTTCTCAGATACCATCTTAGATTCTCACCTCTGGCCTAACTTCAGCATCTCCTTGAATATAATTATCGGGTTTTTGCATGTCCTTTGCTTGTAATTTGTCCATTGTTTTTTTCAACAAAATGTGTAGAATATTGGTGTTTGGTGGGTTATTTTCCGCCATCGTGAGTATAAAAATCTTATGTGGGACACTAATATGTTGTACTGTGTCAGAAACAGTGGCTATATACGCATTTCCTCTTTGATTCTTTATTCTTTCATTGAGGTAAAATATACACATAAAATTTACCATCTTTATAATCTTTAAGTGTACAGTTCAGTAGTAAAAAACACATTTATATATTTTTCCCGCTTCACTCTCCTGCTCTTGTTATATTTCTCAGTCACCAATCCACTCTCCATGTTCATGAAATTCAACTTTTTAGCTCCCACATATGAGTGAGAACATGCGACATTTGTCTCTCTGTGGTTGGCTTATTTCCCATCACGATGGCCTTCAGTTACATGCATGTTGATGTCAATGACAGGATTTTGTTCTTTTTTGTGACTTAATACTATTCAATTGTGTGTATATATACAGCATTTTCTTTATTCATTCATCTGTTGAAGGGCACTTTGGTTGATTTCATATCTTAGCTAATGTGAACAGTACTGTAATAAAGCTGGGACTGCAAATGTCTCTTTAGTACACTGATTTTATTTTTTATTCTTTTGAATATATACTCAGTTATGGAATTTCTGAATCTTATGATAGTTCTATATTTAGTTTTTTGAGAAAACTCCATACTGTTCTCCATCATGGCTGTACTAATTGACATTTCCACCCACAGTGTATGAGGGTTCCTTTTCTCCACATCCTTGCCAGCATCCATTATTGCCTTTTTGATACAAGCCATTTAAACTGGGTTGAGATGATTTCTCATTGTGCTTTGGATTTTCATTTCCCTGATGATTAGTGATGTTGAACATTTATTTATATACCTGTTGGCCATTTGTATGTTTTTTTTTTTTTTGAGAAATGACTTTACAGATCTTTTGCCCATTTTTAGTTGGAGTTTTGTTTGCAATTGAGTTGTCTGAGCTTCTTATATACACTGATAACTATTTTTTTTGTCAGGTGAACACATTGCATGTGTTTTCTCCCTTCTGTGTGTTATCTCTTCACTTTGTTGATTATTTTCTTTGCTTTGCAGAAGCATTTTAGCTTGATGTAATGTCATTTGTGTATTTTTCCTTTGGTTGACTGTGCTTTTGAGGTCTTACATAAAAATATTTGCCCAGTCTTAGAGATTATCTCCAAACTTTCATTCTAGTAGTTTCATAGTTTCAGGTTTCAGATTGAAGTCTTCAATCCATTTTGATTTGATTTTTTGTGTATGATGAGAGATAGGGATCTACTTTCATTCTTCACATATTTAGTTTTCCCACAACCATTTATTGAAGAGACTGTTTGTCCTCCATTGTATATGCTTGGAAACTTTGTCAAAGATGGATTGGCTATAAATGCATGGATTTATATCTAGGTTTACCATTCTGTTCCATTGGTCTATGTGTCTGTTTTTATGCCAGTACCATGCTGTTTTCATTACTATAGCTTTGTAGTAAATGTTGAAGTGAGGTGGTGTGATGCCTCCAGCTTTGTTCTTTTTGCTCAGGATTGCTTTGGGTATTTGGGGTCTTTTGTGGTTCCCTATACATGTTAGGATTTTTTTTTCTATTTCTGTGAAGAATTTCGTTGGAATTTGAAAGGCATTGCATTAATTTATAAATTGCTTTAGATGGTATTGTCATTTTCACAATTTTTTAAAAACTTTTAAGTTCAGGAGTACATATGAAGGTTTGCTACATAGGTAAACGTGTGTCATGGGGCTTTGTTGTGCAGATTATTTTATTATCCAGGTATTAATTCTTCCAATTCATGAGCGTGGAATATTTTTTATTTCTGTGTGTCCTTTTCACTTTGTTTCATCAGGGTTTTATAGTTTTCCTTGTATAGATCTTTCACTTCTTTAGATGGATTGATTCCTAGGTGATTTCTATATTTTGTAGCTACTGTAAATGGGATAGGTATTTGATTTCTGCTTCAGATTGTTGATGTTTGTAAATGTTACTGATTTTTGTATACTGATTTTGTACGCTGCAAACTTCCAGAGTGGTTCTTCTTTTCTTAGAAGGGCACATTCATGTGTTAATACTCAACTATGGGCTGAGTAGGCAACTCTTGCCTGTGATCTGCGTTATCTTAACTGTTTGATAGTAGAAGACTTGTAGATTGTTATGAGATGGACTTAAGGTCTATACTTGGGACCATCTTCATTTAATCACTTACTTCTATCAGAAGAGCCCAGATTCAATAGATGGCCAAAGACTCACTCAATAGCAGGAAGAATTGTAAATCGTAAGTAAACAGGGAGGCCATTAATCAGGACTATCAATATAAATAATCTCCCATAAGAATTAAAAGACATATAAAGCCAGTACTTCAAACACTATCATGTCAATTTAATACTAGTTGTCTCCTCACCACTGGGGGTTAGCATGTTCAATGGTAGAAATATGAATGCTTATGTTGGATCTGTGGTAGATTCAAACCTCCAGCAGATCTGCTGAGATAAATGACTTAATTTCTCTATTCCTCAGTTTTCTTATCTGTAGCACGATCATGCTTATTTTGTTAACTCATAAAACAAGAATCGAGGAGAGATTTTCCACATAATTGACGCCCAGCAGATGGGGTAGGAAGGGAATCTGCAGATATGGTAGTTCAATTTTCTTACCATCTATTTGGAGGTTACTTTCACTTCTCTGTAGCCCCAGGAAGTCTCTTATCTCATATCCCAGTTGAGGAGAGTTGCTGGTGAAAATCTCAGTGCTATATGTTTATGTTTTTATTTTGGTTGAGTAAAGCCAGCTTGCTTCTGTCCTTCCATTTTGGAACTGGCAGTTCACATCTTTGATTCTTATACTCACTTGTATTTGTTTGTTAGGGTTGCCACAACAAAATGTCACACACTAAGTGACTTAAACAACATAAATTTATTTTCTCACAGTTCTGGAGGCTAGATATTCAAAATCAAGGTGTTGGCAGATTCTGTTTCCCCAAAGGCTTCTCTCTTTCACTTATAGATGGCCTCCTTAGCCATCTTTAAGACCTTAGCATTCTTTAAGACCATGTCTTAACAGGGTCTTTCACATGTATGTTCCTTCCTCTTCTTATAAGCAAACCAGTCATGTTCAGTACCCACCATTATGAACTCATTAATTACCTCTTTAAAAGCCCTATCTCCCAATGCAGACACATTGGGGTTTGGGGGTTCAGCATAGGAATTTGGGTGAGGGGGAAACAATTCAGTCTATAAAATCATCCAGATAAGTAGACTAAGAGTTGATCCCTATCTTCCAGGTAGCTGGTAGTTTATTCCTATCATAAAAACGAAAAAACAAAAGAGGCTTCGATAATCTCACTTACTAAAAATAGAAGCTAGACACTTAGCTGTGCTGTATTGGGCTGAAAAAGCAAATTTTACAGGACCCATGTGAGGATCTCCATTTCAGGGTTAGCTTGAAAAGTGGACATTGTAAACCATCAGCACAAAGGGTTTAGGGCTAAGTTAAATCTGCAGAGGCCAGTGATGGAGCTAAAGTAGTTTGGAGTGGGATTTTCAAGAATGCCAGGGTCTGAAACTCCACCTGCCTGGAGCTATAATCATGATTGTTACGACAGATACTTATTGAGCATTGCATGCCAATGAGTTAACTGTGTGTGCAGACATGCAGTGAGAGTAATGCCCTATCAGGGCCTTTATTTCACTGATGAGGTGTTCGAGACTTAGACATATTTAATATGTGGGAGAACCATTATTGACACACTGGTTATTTGTTTTTCAGTTCACAAACCTGGACTCACCAAGCAAAGCTGCATCTTGAAGTCACAGCTTCCAAGACTCAGCTCAAATTCTTTCACTTTTAGAAACGTAGCCAGATCTCCTGATATGGAAACCTGTTACGAGTCTCTCTGTGAGACTGAGATCAATCAGTCAAAAAAACAGGTAATAGAGATTTCTTTGTTTGTGCTACTGTGACAAAGTATTAGGTAGGTACAAAAGTAATTGCGGTTTTTGCCATTACTTGTAATGCCAGAGGTAAGGTCTATTATTTCTGTTAAAGAAATGGCAAAAACAGCAATTACTTTTGCAACAACCTAATACTTGGGACCGAGTTATGTAGAAATAATAGAAATTTAGTTCTCATAGTTTTGAGAGATCAGGAGTCCAAGATCAAGGTGCTGGCATTCAGCGTCATAGGAGGGCCTCCCTGTTGCATCCTCACAGGGCAGAGGCAGAAGTGTAAAAATAAGCCTAAACTAATTCCTTTCAGCTTTTTTATAAGGCACAAATCCATGATTAGTGCCTTATAAAGGGAAAGGAACTCCCATGAGGGTGGAGCCCTCACGGTGTAATCACTTTTCCAAAAGTGATTAAATCTTAATACCATCCCAATGGAATTAAATTTCAACATGAATTTTGGAAGTGACACTATCATTCAAACCATAGCAAGAGCAAATGTAAACTAATTCTGCAATGCAACTCCACTAGTATGCATGTTTTCACATTATAAGGTTATCTACTCATGCCAGATGATCCGTATGTTCATGACACTTGTAGCTTTTTCTACTACATATTATCCCATTAACTCGTCAGTAAAATACCAGTAACCATCTCTTACATATTTTGATACACTGACGTCTCTCATATGTCCAATGCTGTCAACCTCTCTGATTTATATATCAGTAAAATTTTAAGACCAAGCCCATTTTTTCCCATCCCACTGGATGAAAAAGAATACATTAGGATGGAAATGCAGATGATAATAGTCAAAATAATACATTTGTGATGTTTCAGAAATGAAGTATTCACTGTAAATATGTATATATGTATGTGTATTGTAATTACAATTCATCCTCAGAATTCTGTGAAGAAGTAAGGTCTATTATTTCTGTTAGTTTACATGAAGAAACTGTCTCACATAAATTAATTACTCACATTTTCTAAAATTAGATAATGATGACAGTACAGCCATCTCCCTCATCCACAGTTTTACTTTTTGTAGTTTCAATTACTAGAGGTCAACCATGGTCTGAAAATAGTGTCTACAGTATATTAAGATATTTTGAGAGAGAGATAGACCACATTCACAAATTTTTATAATACCATATTATTATAGTTGTTCTATTTTATTATTATTGTTGTTAATCTTTTCTATGCCTAATTTATAAATTAAACTTCATCATAGCTATGTATGTATAGAAAAAAAATATAGAACAGTCATTCATTTTCTAATGACAGGGACATGTTCTAAGATGTGTGTCACTGAGACAATTTCCCTTATATGAATATCACAGAGTATACTTACACAAACCCCAATGGTACAACTGAGTATACACCTACATTATATGGTATAATCTATTATTCCTAGATTACAAACCTGTGGAGTGTGTTACTGTGTGCAATTATAATACAAATACTGTAGGCAATAGTAAGACAATAATAAGTATTTGTGTATCTAAACACATATAAACATAGCAAAGTTAATGTCTTGTGCTACAACACTAGAACAGCTATAATGTCACTAAGCAATAGGAATTTTTCAGTTTCATTATAATCTTGTGGGAGCACCATTGTCTATGCAATTTGTCAACCACTGAAATATCATTACGTGGTGTCTGTTGTATATATAGGATTGGGTACTATCCATGGTAGCAGCCATTAACTGGGGGTTTGGAACACATCCCTTGTAGATAAGGGGAAACTGTTGTATCATGATTAAAGTTCTATAACTCCAGGGATTATGATGTATGTATCTGGTCCATGCATTATTTTTCTTGGAAAAATGTTGACATGGAACTCAAGTATATTTTAATGATTTTCTAAAATTATAGTATCTTCTTAAGTTCTTCTCTAAAATGTTTCTATCATTTTGAAATTTTCAGTCTGTATTATAATAAAGATATAGGAAACATTTCTATTTCACAAGGATGTAAATGCACAACTCTGCTTTTTAAATCTAACTCAGGAAATTAATTTTACTTATTTTCCTTGAATTGGAAAGGTATTATGTACTTGTAAATGTCAGTTAATGTTGGGTGAATTGACAACGTAGGCATACATAATATAAAACTAATAATTTTAACATTTATATATGTAAAATTTATGTAATAAATTATAAAATGTATATATGTAATATTATGATATAGTAGCTCACATTTATTATCCACTAGCTGAAGTGCTAAACACTTTGTGACTTAATTCATTTAATTCTTACACACCTTGTTTTATGAGTTAACAAAATAAGCATGGTCGTGCTACAGATAAGAAAACTGAGGAATAGAGAAATTAAGTCATTTATCTCAGCAGATTTGCTGGAGGTTTGAATCCACCACAGATCCAACATAAGCATTCATATTTCTACCATTGAACATACTAACCCCCAGTGGTGAGGAGACAACTAGTATTAAATTGACATGATAGTGTTTGAAGTACTTGCTTTATATGTCTTTTAATTCTCATGGGAGATTATTTATATTGATAGTCCTGATTAATGGCCTCCCTGTTTACTTACGATTTACAATTCTTCCTGCTATTGAGTGAGTCTTTGGCCATCTGTTGAATCTGGGCTTTTCTGATAAAAATAAGTGATTATGTGAAGATGGTCCCAAGTATAGACCTTAAGTCTATCTCATAACAATCTACAGGTCTTCTACTATCAAACAGTTAAGATAACGTAGATCACAGGCAAGAGTTGCCTACTCAGCCCATAGTTGAGTATTAACACATGAATGTGCCCTTCTAAGAAAAGAAGAACTCCTCTGCTAACCTTTAGACTTGGGAGCAATAATAAATGCCTATTTTGTATGTTACTGAGTTTTGGTGTAGTTTGTTATGCTTCAATAGCAAAATAATGCAGCAGTTGGCAACCCAAGTGAGATGATGCTATAATAAAAACTCAAAAATATGTGGCATTAGCTTTAGTTGGACTAATAAGTAGAACCTGTAAAAAAAATGTTAGCAAACAATTGTGAAATTATGAAAAAAATAGTGAGGAAGTTTTTATCCAAGGTAATCTAGATTGGAATGCATTTTATGTGTTAGTTAAATAATTCACAAAATTGTATACAGCTTTTAATGAGAACAGGAAAAAACAATTATGAAATTATGGTTCCAGATAAGAAGTCCCTTAGGCAGGAAATTGAAAGTTTCAGTTGAGTACTGTCAGTTGTATACGATAAGATGTGGAAAGAAAGGCATGTGCTAACACAACAACTGACCAGTTTGTGCGCTGCATGCCAAAGGAATGTAGAGGTGCCAGGATTTGCTGAGTTAGAAATAAAATAATATCTCATCTCTAGTTTCACCAGCTAGCAAAAGATTCTCAAAGAAAAATACAGACTTAGGATATAAATAGGATGTTTCTATAATAACCTTTGTTAAGATACCAGAAAAAAATTAAGTTGGCACCTTCTAGAGACCCGGGTATCCAATCTTTTGACTTCCCTGGCCACATTGCAAGAAGAAGAATTGTCTTGGGCCACACGTAAAATACACTAACACTTATAGCTGAAGAGATTTTTAAAATTGCAAAAAAAAAAAAAAAAGAAAAAGAAAAACCTCATAATGTTTTCAGATAGTTTAAGACTTAGTGTTGGGCGACATTCAAAGCCGTCCTGGACCCCATGTGGCCCACGGGCCAGCAGGTGGACAGGCATGATGTAGACCCTTGTAGCTTAAAAAAAAAAGTTATCTAGTAATTTTAAGGGTATTGTTCCATAGCAATATGATATGTTTCAAGTTTCTGTGGCATGTTTCAAAACACTTAGTGATTAAGGATTTGGCAAATGGAGTTGAATGAGATTAACAGAAGGCTCACAACGTTTTTAAGAGAGTTACATTGGTAAAAAAGAGCCTATTTTGGATTAAAAAGTGGCAAGATGATTCAAACATCTAGAAGTCCTCTGATATTCCAAATTTCTATGAGATAGAATAAAACTGTTTAGTTTTCACTGTCACCATAGATAATTTATTCAGAAGATTCCAACGAGGGCGATAAAAAAAAAAGAAAAGAAAGGACATTTCAGAAAGTACAGCCAAGAACCAAAGGAAGAGTGCCAAATAAACAAGATACTGGAGACACAGTCCTAGGGAGAAGAGCCCAGGAAACATTCCCCACTCTTAGAGTGTCTGGGTAGGGGTAGGTGGGTTGACAGGCAATATCTGACCAATGCGTTTACTGAATTGGTATGAATTAGTGATGCTTCATGCCTTCCATTCTTCCCTCCCACTTTTAGAATGGGATCGGACATCCTGTGGCTATTCATTGTACTATTATATGTTGGATGTTCAGGAGGAAGATAACTTGCTTTTTTAATTCATAGTTCTCTGGCTCAAAATGAGTCTCATTCAAGGAACTGCATCCAGACCTGATGTATATCATAATGTCTTATGCTCTCAACCTGATGTTGTAATTTTATGAGACTTTTAGAAATTTATGGAAGAGTAAATGCATTTTGTATGGTCAGAGATATGAAAAATGTGGGCCAAATTCAGATTATAGTAAATAGGTTGCATTGATGACCTAATAGCAGTCACCCTATTTGTATCTCCTTTTCCATGCAAGTTTCTGGTTTTCACTCACTCTGACTCTTAGCTGGCCTCGTGACTTGCTTTGGCAAAATGTATGTGTGATACAAGTTAATGCTTTTGAACCTAAGCCTGAAGAGGGTTTACGAACTTCTTGCTCTTGTTCATGGTGGAGCAGATCTGCTTTTAGATTCTTGCCTCCTCAATAAGAACAAAGTCAAGTCAGTCTACTGGAAGATGAGAGACTTCATATGAGAAGCAGAGAGACGTTCGTTCTCAGCCAGTCAACCTCCAAAAGCTGTCTTGCCTTATGAACCCATAGCTGACTCCCAATGCTTAAGGTAGCTTACCCAAGACTGGGAAATCATGCAGCTGAACCCACGCTAAATTGCTGATGTACCGAATTTTAAGCTTAATGAATTGCTGTTATTTTAATATTTTAATACTCTATATTTTGGGACAGAATATTCTAAGGCAATTGTAAGTGATGCAACTCTGTAACTGTGGACTTGTTATCAAAACTCATATGTATTTAGATTTTTTCTTCTGCAATTTGTCAATGAAATGAACTTTAGGTTATAATCATATTAGTAAGTTAATATTTACAACATATATTACACAGGTTTCCAGTAAACATTTAAAAATGAATAAACAAGTGGTTAGTATTCAATAATTTTTTCTCTAGAAATTGCATTGTAGGTGTTATGCGGTTAGAATAATTGTGAGATTGTTTCCCACTTTCCTGCATTGAGAAACAAGAAGATGCCTTTGGTTTCTTTCAAAACATGTTCTTCTGCCTCTGTAACGGGTACTTGTGGGATTGACTGAAGAACAATGCCATATTAGAAGTCATAGCTGTTTGGGGAAAGCCGGGAAACATTTTCTACTGAGACAGAGATACAAGAATATTTCTCAGAGAAAAGGTAGTAGCTACATGCTTTGTAAAAAATAACAAAGCAGGATCATTAGTCTAAAGAAAAAATAGCACCGTCAGAAATTATATATTATACCTTTTAAAGGTAAGTAAGAAGTCAAAGTCATTGTCCCAACCTCATGAGGCACTTTAGGTTTACACTAATAACACTGTAATTTATGCCAACTTTTTTTAATACAAAATCTTCCTCTCTCTCTCTCTCTCTTTCTTACACATAACAATTTTAATATGTAAAGTAGTACAGACTAAGCCTTCCTTTGGTCTTATTTTGGACTAGTAGCATTAATCCTTTATCAGATGTAGGAAAGTGTGCGACATAAGAGAAGAAAAAAGAACTCACATGTTTGTTCGTTGTGAAAAATAAAGTACAGAAGAACCAGGGGTTACCAGAGAATCCTATTGAATTTACTATTGCTACTGAGTAATACAAAGGAATGTTGCAGTGGTGGAGATTTGGCAGTGATCCAGGATGAGGAATTAAGACAATTGTAGTAATGAATTAGAATATAATATCTCAGACATAACTCCTATTATAAAATAAATTCAACTGCATTATCTTACGATTTCTAAAATCCCTAAAATTCAAAATCTTGCATGCAACTTCCTTCCTTTTTATCCAAACCCTGTCTTCCAGGAACTGGCGAAGCCTTGAATGAGGGCATATTTATGCTTCCTAGTGTTAAAATAGGGGAGCCAGGGTCAAGGATACAATGCGAGATTCCATTCAATGCAGTTTCTATTACACAAGGACCAGAGAGTCTTGAGGCTCAAAGTAACCCCCACATCTAACCCTGCTTATGTACTTTGAACATGACAGTTGATATATTGTATTTTCTTTCTTTTTTTTTTTGAGACGGAGTTTCACTCTTATTGCCCAGACAATGGCATAATCTCAGCTCACTGAAACCTCCACCGCCCGGGTTCAAGCGATTCTCCTGCCTCAGCCTCCCGAGTAGCTGGGATTACAAGCGCCTGCCACCATGCCTGGCTAATTTTTGTATTTTTAGTAGAGATGGTATTTCACCATGTTGGCCAGGCTGGTCTTGAGCTCCTGACCTCAGGTGATCCACCTGCTTCGACCTCCCAAAGTGCTGGGATTACAGGTGTGAGCCACCACGCCCGGCTTGGTCTTTTTTCTTTTCTTTTTTTTGTTTTTCACATTTGGTCCAGCATAGATTATGACACATTGCAAGCTTTTCTTGAGTGAGTATTGAAAAAGTAATTGTCTTTTGAAAGGCGCATAAACAATAAACTTGAGCAGTGTGTGACTTGTATGTGAGAGAATAAAGTGGTATTGGTATGAGTGCACAGAGGAGAACCCTACAAATCCTTTATGAGGATTCTGAGAAACCTTTATAAAGAGATGGTGTCTGAGATGGGTATTAAAAGATAATCGAAAATATTTTGTACAGAGGGTATCTAAGGAACCTACAGGAGAAAGAGAACTTTAGTCATTAATTCAGAAGTTTAGGCTCTCATTATGTGAGATGTCTAGACTTATAACTAACTCCTAGGATTAGCCAATAAAATATTTGTTAAATAAAATGTAAAAAGTGTTCTCCAGTCCTCTCGATTCGAAGGAGGCCTAGGTTATCAGAAATGAATGGAAGAAAGTTGTGAACTCCATTCTGGCAATGTTCTTAAGACTGACTTCAGTGTGCTACCTCACCTATGTATCTCTCAGTTTGAGATATAAGACTTGCATCCAAAAACACCATAAAGGATATTTCATGAATATTGTGTGAAGTGGTCTTCCTGCTTGGGGGTATATCTGCATGTTTTACGTTGCATATGTTGCTGGCGCATGCATGAGTCTAGTGAAGGCAATTTCTAAATTTCTACTGGTGCAATGTCTATGTCTCCAACACTTCTGTTTGTATTCTGAGCAGGCCTTAAAGTTCTGCCTCCCATGAAGGCCTAATAGTATGCCCGTCTTTCAAATATGAGAGATGTGAGCTCCAGCAGAATAAAATGACAGTAGTTCCACATGACCTAGGCAAACTGAATTTCATCTGCATGAGAAAACTAACTGAATATTAATTGATATGTTCTTGGCCTAGTAGGTAACAGTGGCATGATCAGTCAGCAATGCCTCTCTTGAGCCAACCATGGGGAGGGGAGGCCCAAGTGCTGGTTGTTTTCTATTTTCTTTCTGGATGGTGAGAGGGCTACTGAATTGTCATATGTTGTATCTTCTTCTTTCTCTGAATGATCCCATGACAACCTCCCTGACATCCTTCTTCTAACTTCTTCCTATCTTACTCCATTTCTTCATGCATTTTGCATTTTTTCTTTACTTGTTCTAATAGAGTGATTTCACCCACTCTACCTAATTGCCTCTGCTCAGATCTGAAAGAAAGAGATAGTCAGAATCCATGTGAATGGAACAGCATGACAACCAAAGTGTTTGATTATTACCACTCCTAAATCTCAGATTTATCTAAAGTGCCTCAAGGGACCTTGATATCACCCCATCAACCTTTGCCTCAAAGAACAGAAACAGCCAATTAGGACTGCACCACCTATTCCAGAAACAGAAGCTTCCTAAGACCTCAAAGTCCCTACTCTTTTCTCTAAGTCTGTCTGGCTGTCCTGACACAGTTAAAAATTAATATTCTTGTTATTCTGGTCCATAAGACATATAAAATATATTTCTATTTTGTTCCTACTACTCTAAGAGCTTGTAAGTTATGTGGGATTTTAATGCTATTATGCCATAAAAAAAGGTTCAATGAATGTGATTACAATAACTTGGGTTCTTATTTTTTGAGCTAGCTACATGGCTCTGACCATTGGAAAACATGGTATTTGTCTTATCTACTTCATTAGGTTGCTGCAAGGTTTATGGAGATAATGGATACAAAACTGCTTTGTATAATGCTATTCAGATACAAGAAGTTGTTATGCATTTATGTATTAATAGCATATTTATACCACTCTTCCAAAAATGACTTTATGAAGCTAATGCATATTCAATAAAATAAGAAAATGTTCTATTTAAATTAAAAGTTGCTTCATAAAAGGGTAAATTTAAAAAAATAGTTATTTTATTTTGCTTTTCTCTAAACTTTAGTCCTCTACTTTTCTGGAATCAGCAATATGACTTGACTTAACCTCTAAGAATTTTGTGTATATTATATTTAGAACTATGTTTCTCAAAACAATTGACAGAATGTCCAGTAACTTGTTACACTGCCATTTAACTATTGCTTTTTTTCTCAATAATTATTTATTTTGTTCTATGCTCCCTGTGAACATGGATAAAAAGATAAATGAGAATTACTGCTTTATAGTGATAAAAGGTAATTAAAGAGTTGTTTCATTTTTCTATGCCTTCAGGAAAAATCTAATGACCTTGATAATATGATCTAAGATTTATCGCCCACCATTTATTTGTACAAGCTCTCCCAGTATATTGAACCAAATCAAACTGCTTTTCGTGATCCCCAGATTCCAAAAACACCTCCAGGTCTATTGTAAGATATGTTAAGTTTCTTCTGCTCTCAATGTCTTTCTGATTCTCTAAACAGAAATGTTTCTTCATCCTCCAAGAATCAGCCCTATAATCTCCTGCTTTAATAAGACTTCCTTATTACTTTAGTTTGGGAGACAGTAGGGAAGAGTACAGGTAGTAAGTGATCTAAGTGAAAAGACTGGACTGACTGATAAATGTTTTCATCTCTCTTTTTTAGCACAAGTTTGGGAAGAGTGGTCAAGTGGACATTCAATCCATGATTAAGGGACTGCTGCAAACGTGAGAATTTGCTCCCATTCCTCTGAGAAGATACTAATGTGAATGGCTTTATTAGGGAGAAATCTCCTGCCTATTTAACAACCTGACAGAATCCTACAGCATAAGCTGGCATACTAGTCCAGAAAATCTGCCAAGATGATCCCAGCAGCACCTTATCATTAGCAACTACTGATATGATTGTTATGACTTCACTGAACCCACCATCAATGAAATCTTGAGCGTATACTTTGAATTTAGGACTTTCTCCCAGCCAGGTACTCCAATCATGGAAGTGGTCATTTGGACTTGAGTGCTGTCAACTCAGCATTGTTGTTGGAGTGACCAGTTAGTTCAGTATTACAGAGTTGAGGGGAGTGAGCAGAATTCATCTTTTTTCACATTGCTGCTCTCAATGGACTTTCTTCCTGAGAAGACTACAGTGAATAGTGTCAGGAACTTGTAAAACTATGTATTGTTAAATCTAAGACACCTATTTCTGTTCTCCACATTCCTACCCTTATGAATTTTCCAAGGTCCTCTGAGTCTTTTTCATGGGAAAATATCGACAAAGGCAGGTTGGTCATGACTAGATTATCTCGGCAAAGAACAGCTAAAAGGTCATTCAGTCTTGTATCTCTGAAACAACTAACCTTCTTTGGAAGTAAATGAAGTAATTCTCTTTGCTGCTGATTTGTTTCAAAAATAGGAAAAGGTAGAACAATAGGCACATTATGCAGAGTGTTTCTGAAAAGAACTTTTATAAATTGGTAATTTAGAAAATCAGTGGGTTGCAGACGAGACACAGCATCCTCTGTTGAGCTTTCAGCAATAACAGAAGTGTCATTTGAGTACACTCTTTAATCAAACTTTTTACGATCTATACCCGGTCTGTGCAGAGTTGAGTACTTGGGGCTGAGTGATATATTCCAATGCCTCCTACTTCCATGAAATCTAAGATGCTACTTTATCAAGCTCATTTTCCACAGGAGGGAGGTTGAGCAGACAGAGAGGCTGAGCAGTACATCCAAGGTCATGCTAAAAGTGAATGGTTGAATATGTGTTTCTCATCCTTTCCTTTTGATTCAGCACTCCTGTGTGCTTATAAAGGATGACTAACCCCAATTTATCACTCAGCTATTTCTACACCCTTTCCTATCTGGTAAAAATTACATTGATTTTGGCCAGGATGTCAGGGAACTACACTTACTCTCAAGAAAGGCAAAAGTCCCTCCCAGAACTAGGAAATTAATTTCAATTGATCTGAATGTTGACTTATAATTTCAGTCCCTAAATGTTGATGGTTGCTTTAGGGGTAAACGTATAACATGCTTTCAGCAAACGAGACTTAAATGTAAATGAGTTGGAAGACTTCCTTTCCTGAAGTAAACCATAGCCTTTTCTGGTCCTTAAATCTATCTCCTATGGAGGCATGAGCATCTTTAGAGCTGTAATAACTATCTGTATCTATAAGGTAAATAGTGGAGCGATAAAAATGGCCTAAGGTCCTTGGGTATATTTATGAGTTAATATTAAAAAAAAACCTGGAAATACCTCCAGAGTTCATGCCAAGTAAGATAATTTAAAGTTTTTCAAGTCGAAGCCACTATATTCCTTTAAATTCAATTTAAAGCATTCCTAGTGAACCGATGAGGTTAGTGCATATTGGAAATACAGCGTCTTGCATGCTTACAGAGAAAGTGGGGGTTACCAGGAGTAAACTAAGCTTTGAGTGAAAAAGATGGTCATTTAAGTCTAAATAGGGAAGTCTAAATTGTGAAGGATAAAACTGATACCCTCCTTGAGTCACAATTAAGAATGAATTTGTCAGATTCACAGTTTGCAAACACTGTTTCTGTGATGTAGCTTGCCTCTTCACTATGTTGATTGTTTATTTTGCTGTGCAGAAGGTTTTTAGTTTAATTAAGTTTCATTTATCTATTTTTATTTTTGTTGAGTTTGCTTTTGAGGACTTGGTAATAAATTATTTACGTAGGCCAATGTACAGAAGAGGTTTTCCCAGGTTTTCCTCTAGGATTTTTATAGTTTCAGGTCTTACATTTTATCTTGAGGTAATTTTTGCATATGGTGAGAGGTATGGGTACAGTTTCATTCTTCTGCTTATGGCTATCAAATTTTCTCAGCACCATGTATTGAATAGGCTATCCTTTCCCCAGGGTATATTTTTGCTGACTTTCTCAGTTAGTGGGACGTATATGGCTTATTTCTAAGTTCTCTATTCTGCTCCATTGATCCATATGTCTATTTTCACACAGGTGCCATGTTGTTTTGGTTACCATAGCTTTGTGGTATAATTTGAAGTCAGGCAATGCGATGCCCCCAGCTTTGTCCTTTTTGCATACGATTGTTTTGGCTATCTGGGCTTTTTTTGGGTTTCATATTAATTTTAGGATTGTTTTTTATAATTCTATGAACATTGATGTTAATAATTTGATAGGGATCGCATTGACTCTGTAATTTTTTTGAGAAGTGTGGTTACTTTAACAATATTGATTTTTCCAATTCATTAGCATAGGATGCTTTTCAGTTTGTGTCATGTACGATTTATTTCATCAGTGTTTTGTAATTCTCCTAATAGAGATTTTTTTTTTTACCTCCTTGTTAAGTATGTTCCTATGGAACTAAAACAGCTCAAGAAGAGAAAAAGAAAAAACAAACCTAGTAAAGAATGAGCAGAGTTTATGAATGGATAAAAAGACATATAAGTGGCCAACAAATATATGACAAAATGTTCGACATTATTAATCATCATATACATACAAATTCAAACCACAAGATGTCATCTTATATCAGTCAGAATATCTATTATTAAAAAGTCAAAAAACAACAGATGTTGATCAGGATTTGGAAGAAACGGAACATTTATACACTGTTGGTGTGAATGTAAATTAGTATAGCTTTCATGAAAAACAGTATGGAAATGTCTCAAATAACTAAAAACAGAACTACCATTCAACCAGACAATTCCACTGAGTATCTACCTAAGAAGAAATAAATAATTACATCAAAAAGATACCTGCATTTGTATGTTTATCACAACACTATTCACAACAGCAAAGATATAGAATCAACCTAAGCATCCATCAAAGGAGGTATGGATAATGAAAATGCATTATATGTATATATATATATACACACACACACACACATATACACACACACACATATATATAATATACACACATATATATGGAATACTACTCACCATTCAAAAGAATAAAATTATAGCTTCTGCAGCAACATGGGTGGAACTGGAGGCTATAATCCTAAGTGAAATAATGCAGAAACAGAAAGTCAAATACTGCATATTCTCACTCACAAGTGGGAGATAAACAATTGGTGCACACTGACAGACTGAAATAATAGACACTAGATACCACAAAAGTTAGAAGGGTGAGAGGCAGGTGACAATTGAAAAGTTGTCTATTGGGTACAATATTCACTATTCAGGTGATAGGTTCACTAAAAGCCCAGACTTCACCACTATGCAATATATGCATGTAAGAATTCTGTGCTTGTATATGGGGTACTATATATATAGTTTGCATAACTATATATTTATGTATAATAAGTTTGCACAGAAGTGCAATATTTTCAATGTAGGGTTCAGGTCAGCTAGAGATACATGGGAATTCCAGACTCCGGAAAAAGTCATAAGTAGTGTAGTCTGTGATGATTAGACAAAAATGAATTCAGTAATTCAGTATAAGCCAGAATAAAAAAAAAAAATGACACCAACTCTAGCCCCCGAAAACTCAGATATGGGCAAGATCTGGCAAACTGACCCATCAGTCAAATTTGGTCTACTGCCTGTTTTTGAAAACAAACTTTTATTGGAACACAGATGCATCCATTGTTTATATTTTGTTAATTTGCATGGAAAAAATCAGTAGTTGAGACAGAGACCATATGGCCCACACAGCCTAAAATACTTGTTATTTTGCCCTCCATTGAGAACGTTTCCTGACCCCTGGTCAGGTATCCAATGAGGATTTCCTATTCTGGAGACACAGAGAGCCCTTAGACACACAAAAAATGTGGAAGACGAGCATAAAAGGACCAAGAAAGATTAAGCATTTGAGTGGGAAAAGGGAATAGCTGTTGCCCCTTAAAATTACAAAAAATGCTTTGCATTTATGCCAGTGCCTAACATTACATTAAATGTTTGTGTTTGCATAACTATATAAAAGAACAGACAAATTTACAGCTTTGCTAATATTTTACAAAGGAAATTTTTATATGCTGAGCATCTGACTACCTATTGCCTCTGGTATTTAGGCAGGGAGCCTCAATAAATTATTGCAGTGCACATGCAGAATAGCTCATGCATTTATGAGAAAGTGTGTGGATACGGTGATTTTGGCTTTGGATGCTGAGGTGGAGGAGAGCAACGGAGTTGTGCTGACATACAAGGCCTTAGCTTTCTATTTTATCTCACAGATTACTTTTGGCCCAAAGTCTGACTGATGTTTTACCATTACCCATCAATACAATTACACATACTTCATATCTAAAATTGCTTTTCCCAAACTAAGTGTCATAAAACATGCAACAAAGGAAGAGATGCTTCATGGCAAGCCAAATGTTTCTACACAAAGAGAAAAATAAACATTACCTTTTCATAAAACTTGCTTTGGGAGCTGAAATTCATATAATAAATTCATAAAGAGACTTTGCTATGATAGGAATAATTTGGCCCTAAACGTGAGTTGCTTTTATTCAGGTAATAATTGCCTGGCAATGTTCAAGGTGTTTCTCCCCTTCTTTATGGCCATGTTTACAATGTTGCCAAGAAGTAGAAAGCCTAATACAGAGTGTTTCAGGGCTTAAATTTTACCCTAAGGTGTTTGAACCAGGAGAAAACACCATGACCACTGTCTTCATGAATAATTGCAAACAAGAGTGAAATCTTCACCTGCACTTATTTGCATCATCAATTAAATCTAGTAATTGAAACATTATAAGGAAAATGAACTCAATAAGAGCTTTATTTTTAGGGTGAAACCTTCAAAATATGGAGCAATCACTACAAAAATTTTCTTGCATAATTCTTTGTTTGAACTTTCTGCTTCTCTTAGTATGGATAGTGCCTAATGACCTTACATGACACAGATCAAATATTTTCTCCTTAAATGGGGTATTTCTTTACTGATCCCAGTGAACCCTATAGTTTTTTGCTTACTCAGAGCCCTGAACCTGGTCCGACTACACATTTAAAAAATATCGGATGGAACTGCATAATATCTATGCTGCCTTATTATATTTAATTTTCTCTGAAGCTGTAGATGTGTATTTGTGACAAAAATAGATTAATTTTAATCTCTTTACTCTAGAAATCACATTTTTTCAAATAGAGTATCCTGTTTATCCTGATATTTTGTGATGTTGTGCAGATCTGTGACCTGAAATGGTAAATTGCACATTACCAGATTATTCTAAACGGGAATGTGGAGTTGAATATCATTGACATTGTAAACTTATGTTTGTAAGATGACCAGTTTAGTGCCCAAGAGGCAATATTTTATATATGTAAGTATGTTTATGGACGTGTTATATATATTATAAATATATCACATTCTATATAATACTTTATACAAATCTTAATTATGCAAAATAGATGTTATTTCAATTACATTTTATTAAATCTGTACGTTAGATGCAGATTTTTATTTTCTTTTTAGAGGAACAGATTGAAAACATAGATCTTATACTCTACTACCATTAACACAATTGAATGGCCTTAATTTCTCAATAGGATCATTTAATATTCATTTTTTAATTTCTGCATTTACACATAATATGTCTCCGGAGGCCTCTAACAGATTCTATTGCTGCAGTTTTAATGAGAACTATCAAAGGTTACTATGAGATGATGATCTATACTTAATTCATAGATTTCCCCAGATGCTTGTGTAATTCAGTGCTGTTTAGATTCTTTTCGAGTTTTATTGTCTTGAAACATTTATCCCAATTTTAACTGCATATTTAATCATTATTAGCATAACCCTTTCATTCTTCAAGTGGGTATTTTGAGAATTGATATGGAAAAATTATGGCCTCTTCAGGGAATTTAATAATTTTGCTTGTGAGGAAACACTGAAAAGTCATTTTGTGTAGGTGTGATGTTTCAAAATAGGTTCTGGTCGAGTACTTTCATGTAACCAAACAGTATTGATGTTTGAGTCTTCCAAATTTTATAATTATAATTTTTTGGCATAAATGCATTGATCAGAATAAAAGATAGCAAGTGCTTAAAGATGACTGATATGCGTTGACATACAGATAGAAGAGGAAAAACCTGAATTATAATCTGGATTAAAATCTTAACTGTGAGGTTTCAGATAAATTGTGGTTAAGTGTTCTTACCTTATTTAATTTTTTTCTCTTCTATCACTAGTAATACTGAGAGGTGACAATGTGCTAGCAGCCCTCGCTCGTTCTCTGTGCCTCCTCGGCCTCTGTGTCCACTCTGGCCGCGCTTGAGGAGCCCTTCAGCCCGCTGCTGCACTGCGGGAGCCCTTCTCTGCGTTGGCCCAGGCCTGAGCCGGTTCCTTCTGCTTGCGGGGAGGTGTGGAGGGAGAGGCGCGGGCGGGAACCCGGGCTGCGCGCCGGGCTCGCGGGCCAGCGCGATTTCCGGTGGGCGTGGGCTCGGCGGGCCTCGCAGTCCGAGCGGCCCTGGTAAGTGAGGGGTTTAGCACCTGGCCAGCAGCTGCGGGGGCTGCACCGGGTACCCCAGCACTGCCAGCACCCCCGCACCGTGCTCGAATTCTCGCCGGGCCTCAGCCGCCTCTCCCGGGTGCAGCCAGCCATGCCGAACTCCCCACAAGGGTGGGATCCTGAGCGGCCTCAGCCTCCCTGATGGGCGCCGCCCCCTGCTCCCTTGTGCCCGGTCCCATCGACCGCCCAAGGGTTGAGTAGTAAGGGCAGGAGGCGCGGGATTGGCCGACAGCTCTGGCAGCAGCCGGGTGTGAGATCCACTAGGTAAGCCAGCTAGGGGACTTGGAGAACGTTTATGTCTAGCTAAAGGTTTGTAAATGCGCCAATCAGCTCCCTGTGTCTAGCTCAAGGTTTGTAAACACACCAATCAGCACCCTGTATCTAGCTCAGGGTTTGTAAACGCTCCAATCAATGCTCTGTGTCTAGCTAATCTAGTGGGGACTTGGAGAACTTTTGTGTCTAGCTAAAAGATTGTAAATGCACCAATCAGTGTCTAGCTCAAGGTTTGTAAACGTACCAATCAGCACTCTGTCAAAATGGACCAATCAGCAGGATGTCCGTGGGGTCAGATAAGGGAATAAAAGCAGGCTGCCCCAAGGCAACTTGCTCAGGTCCCTTTCCATACTGTGGAGGGTTTGTTCTTTTGTTCTTTACAATAAATCTTGCTGCTGCTCACCGTTTGGGTCCACGCCGCCTTTATGAGCTGTAACACTCACTGCGAAGGTCTGCAGCTTCACTCCTGAAGCCAGCGAGACCACGAACCCACGGGGAAGAACGAACAACTCCAGACGCGCTGCCTTTAAGAGCTGTAACAGTCACCGCAAAGGTCTGCAGCTTCACTCCTGAGGTCAGCGAGACCAGGAAACCACCAGAAGGAAGAAATTGGGGACGTATCTGAACATCTGAAGGAACAAACTCCGGACATACCATCTTTAAGAACTCTAACTCACCGTGAGGGTCCACGGCTTCATTCTTGAAGTCAGACCAAGAACCCACCAATTCCAGACACAATATTACGAATTTATATTCAATGAAGAGCAAATAAAAGAGTAGATGTGAATATAATAAACAGACTCAAGGAATTTTTGTTGCTGCAGTTGCTTTTACTATAGCAGGTATTGAAATGAATTATACCAGGTATACTCAAATGAAATAAAGGTTAGAGTAATGTATCGCTATTATAATTATATTTAATACAAGATTTTAAATTTAGTGAAATTCTTGTCTTCAGTATTCTATTACTGGCCTACATGAGACAAAACTTCTTGGACCAAATCCCAGCATCTCACTGCTCCTTTATATCTCAGTTCATTAATCCTTCTCACTGAA